CCCAGAGGGAGGAGAGGCTTGTATTGCTGTGGAGTGAGGGAGTCGCTCCCAGCCCCCGGCTGGAGGATGGGGCGGAAGTGAAGAGGCTGCAGTTGGGCTCCTGGGTCTGGTGAGGAGACAGCTCTGAGTCGAACCAGAGCCAAGCCCTTCGTGGCCAGGCCCCGTGCTTGGGCTTCACGAGGATGTGTGCATTCATCCCACAGTAGCCATAGGATGCAAGGAGCAGCCCATCTGACTCACAGGTGAAGGGATCGGAGCTCAGCAAAGTCAGGGGCGGGTTTACAGGGACGCAGTGACGAGGAGCAGGGTGTTGGCAGGGACCGCCTCCTTCTCCAACCTCCAGCCTCACTTTTCTCCACCCATGAACATGGATGCACCCCTTTTCTAGAGACCGCTCTGCCCTCCTGGCTGGGCCCCTTTGCCCTCTTGCACTTCACTGTCCACCCACATTGTCAAAGTGAAGCACCTGTAAAAACCGTAAGAATTCGTAATGTTGAAGAGAGGGCACCATCTGTTTGCTTCCTAACTAGAAAATATTGTCGCTTTCCGTGTGTACATACCAGTGAGAGCAATTGGGCCAATGGCTGTTTCATGTCTACATCATCTGTCCCCTCCAGTCACCTCATTTAACTGCACCTGCCCTGACTAATTATCCACTTACAACCTACACAGTGCAATCTTGGTGTGTGAACACATCATAAAAGATGAAAAAATACTGTCATGTGTGCTTTTAGCAAAATTGGATAGTCCTCCACCACATTTAGCATCATCCAATTCTTCTTGTTGAATGACTAACTACATGAAAATAGCAAGTTTCTTTTTTGTCTTTAAGATGGATATGTATACATAATATAGACAATAGATAGACAGATGATAGATAGATAATAGATAGATAGATGATAGATAGATAGATAATAGATAGGTAGATAGATGATAGATAGATGATAGATAGATGATATATATGCAGATAGATAATAGATAGGTAGATAGATGATAGATAGATGATAGATATGTAGATAGATAGATAGATGATAGATAGGTAGAAGATAGATGATAGATAGATGATAGATACGTAGATAGATAGATAGATGATAGATAGATAGACAGATAGATGATAGATAGATGATAGATAGGTAGATAGATAGATAGA